TTCACATTTTTCTAATAAAGCTCGTTTGAAAATGATTGAACGCCTATCTGGCCTTTATGGCCTTTACAGTGACTCGCGGTGGTCTATCGATATATCGAGCCAGTGCAACTATCCTCCCAGACAAGTCTGATACCGATTTGCCGACTCCGGAGGGATAGAAGGCTTGGTGGGCCATGAGCGTGGGGATGGATTCCACGTGCTCCGACAACTGCACCGCACGCGCCCTGTTGCGCCCATGTTTTATGATGAAGTATATTACTACCTTAAGTAAATACGCAGGAAACTACGCATGTGTAGGGAAAGTATAAATTCGAGCAATTACCACAAAATTATTACGTTCCGGAAGAATTATAACGGAATCAAACAAAGTGAAACCGTTTAGAAAACTGAGTCTTCATCATAATCGGGAAGGAACCTTACAGAATAAGTACCACTTTTGAGTAGTTGACAATCTTGCATAAAGTTGCGCTATATTGGCAATCTCTGCGAAGCCAATAATGTCTTCCATCACTCTGGATCGGCAAGTTGGTGACGGATTTGTTTGTGAAAATAAAGAACGATGGACTAATATAGTTCCTTCTTGTAGGTTTCTGCAAGCGTTGCAGAGGAGAACTTTATGCTCATTACGTATCTTACAGGATACATAATACATAAAGATTGTTGACGTGCCCCTTAAGAACAACAGCGTAGGCTTCCGTATCCTCTTCCTACCTCGTGTTAGCAAAACATTTAAAGATCTTCGAATTCAAAATCTTCGACATTTAAAATGATGTCGATCACCACGAGTACGGTGATTGTTCAATCCCCGCTCCAAGCACACCAAACCTGTCATCCCTCAGGAGTTAGGAAATTGGTACTGCACTTGTCCGGCAAAAATCCACGCTCTGCAATCCAATTGGGAACGCTGCAACCCGGCTATCTCAGGATTCCAGGGATAATCAACTCGACCAGCATTCTACAACATTCAAGGTGAAATGAAAATCCTTAAGCAGCAGCAGAAACCACATGCAAAGTTGTAAACCTTCGTGGATAGTGGATGCGAGGAAACGAATCGAATGTGGGAAGTGCTGGGATCCGCACATTGGACGCGAAGACGGGCCGTATAAAATAAAATAGGATAACAAAAACAAGCATCTAAAGAAGTGGAAAAGTGTTCATTAAAACCAAGTGAAATATTTTATGTGTAACTCCAAGCTGCAACGCTATATTCTTTTCCATCTGTATAATTTCGACGCCATGTAAAACTTCTGCTATGAGAAGATGAGTCTTTAGAGTAGTAAACATATTGTAATAACGCGACACCTCAAAAATTCCCTATTAACAATAGCGAACAAATTTCTTGATTATTCGGAACTCCTTTTCTTTGTTGACGTCAAGTTTTAACATCGAATCGTAAGAATAAATTTCTCAACAACAGATTTAAACAAGCCCATAACGAAGACATCCGGGTAGTTTTGAACGAAATACCTTAGATTTTAGGATTTCTTAATTGATTGTAACTTTGCAAACTGCAAATTGTAATGGCAATGCAACCATAATGATGCTGAGATATTTGCAAAACTCCGATAGATAGAAAAGCCAACTGAGGGAAAGGCGAAACGAAAGACCCGCATGGTGTGGTGGTGAACGCGTTACTCCCCGGAAGGGAAAATAGCGCGTTCGTTCTCCACCGCAGGCACATGTGGTCCGGAGTTTTGCAAATATCTCAGCATTATTGTGGTTACCGTTCACATAATACCCTGCCAAGAAAAATTATAGTATGAAACAAATAAAATGTCACTATAATGACAATCTTATTCGTTTGCCTCATGATTTTACTTTGATTCAATCTTCAGTTGTGCTTGTGGTAATGAAATAACTTACAGTTTCGTGCAACACACAAACCGTATGATTGCCGACGGCTATCAACCGACAGAAACTGATGTGCTTCACTCATATGCACCGACGATTGGACTCGATGCTCATGTGATCCGGCTGGAAAAAGTCAGATACGAGTAAGTATGGATTGCTTCGGAAGTCTGATTCCATTTTGGATTCGATCAAGACCGTCTAGTAGATGATAGAAGAGATATGGCTCAGTAGTTCGAAGAATATGGAGGATATCCCGCTACCCCTTATATCTCATCAGTCGCAGTTCTTCGTAGTATTTAACTGATTCCATGCAAGCTGTCTCACTTTCAAAACTCTCACGTCAAACGTCCTACGTTTATGACCGAGAAACGTCACAGTTTCATTTATGACATTCATTGATTTCTAAATAGAAGACTTTTATGGTAGCAGTAATGCTAACGCTTTCGAATTATTCTTGAAATTTACGCAATGGTTTTTTTGTCCCTTTTTTAAAGCTTCATATGGTAGCGCAGATAAATTGCTTCACCATCAGGGACCTTTTCAATGGTAACCAAATTAAAATTGGAATGAACTATGGAAGAATTTGAACGATTATTATTAGGTACACTATGTTCCTCCAAATTATTGAGCTTACCCAAGGTTGATCCAAAATTCCTTATTCAGATAACGGTTCGACGTCTTATATAAAGGGTACCAGAATATTCTCCATATTTCGCCTTCTTCAGAGGCGATAGATCCAAGCCAACTGTCGTCAGCCGGTTGTTCTCACAATGTGGGTTTTTGTCGTCGCATCGAGTAGAATGTTTCGGAGTGCAGTACCGTTCTAGGGATTCGATAAGAACGCTTCTGTGAATATGTTGCGATCAATACATCCTTAAGTGACTGCAGTAAGTGAGGATATCCAAAAAATTTTCGGAGTACTCTCTACATTCAAAAGCTAACTAGCCGAAATGTTCTTCGTTGAACCATTCTGCGCTCCTTTGCTGTCAGAACAAAAGCTGTACTCCTCTATAACGGCAAAGACCCGCTTTCCCATATTCATGTACAAACTTTGAGCGTGAAATTCTAATATGTAAGCTCGAGTCGTCTGTTATCTAGATATCGTTTATTATGATAAGCTTATCTATTTATAACCACTGAAGAGGGACAATTCCTTCTCTCTTCGTAGTGAAGATTAACAGCATTATAACCGGTATGCTAACCGGTTATGAGCACCCTTATAAACACATTTCTTTTGCACAAAGATGCCTTATAGTTTTTAGCTTCCTAAACGACCCGACAAAATATTGTTCGGATCCTAGCAGTTCTGTCATTCGTTTCATTACTTCATACCCCCATTCCACGAAGCTCTTCGGAATTTTTCGTGTGCTTTTAGCTGTTCATTGAGAACTCTTGGTCTACTTTAAGAGAAAGAAGGCTTTGTGATGTTGCCACAGGATCTGCCTGGATACCACTCTACCCTATATATAGTTAATTTCAACAATTTTCGGACACTTCAAAGATGCTTAGATATTTGCAAAACTCGGGACCGCAGGTGTCTGCGGTGGGGAACGAACGCGCTATTGTCCTTTCCGAGCTGAGAGACAGGCGAAACGAAGGATATGGAACGCATGGTGTGGTGGTGAACGCGTTACTCCTCGGAAAGGAAAATAGCGCGTTCGTTGCCCACCGCAGACACCTGCGGTCCGGAATTTTGCAAATATCTCAGCATCATTGGAGTTATATTTCGCAATATACACTGCCATTAAAAAGAGTAGGCAGTAAATAAAACGGTTAAGATTGTGAATTTTGGGACAGTTTTTCCATAACCGTAATTTTGGCGTTACGACGACATGGATTCACTTCGACTGGGATCGTACAAATATGAGATCAAAAGTGTTTGGACAGCCGCTACCAGCATTGCACTGGTGGCTGGATCTATTTCTGTTGTCTCTTCTCATATAAGTTTACCATCTTTTAAAATGAGAATGCTCATTGGTACTACGTTAGATACTATAACAATGTTCTGATCATCTTTTCTAAGACATTTGGAACGTATGTTGGGATTGAAAGTAGCACGGACAGGACCAGCGTTTCCGCGTACTCTCATTTTCCTTCCTCGTTTTTCAGTATTTCACTTGAAAATGCTATAGCTATGCTTTATGGTTTTTGAGCTTTGTAACAGTAAAATGCAGTCTTCTAAAATAGAACTGTATATGCCTTTATTACTGCACACCCCATAGAGCTCGAATAGATTGTATTGCAAGTCTTCAATCTGGTGGATGTAGCCTCTGTGTCAGACCACCCTTTATATTCTGGCCCAACTTTCCTCAGTGACCGTTCGGTCTTTAAACCTAACGAGAATCTAGGAAGTGAATTCCCAATAAATGCATAAGTTGAAATTTGCCTAATAATTTGACGCCTTCATGGAAAATATCACCGACAATTTTGATGAGGAATATAAGTGTGTCGTTGAACACCACGACAGCGCTAAAAAATTGAAAGCATGTGGTCATCTTTTTCTCCAGAAATTCTTTTGTCAACTTGGACTCGTCCTCGCAGCCATGAACTCACTTTCTATCTCTTGACAATCAAAAGAGAAGCGATAAAGGAAGATTTAAGACGAGAAGATCAACAGTAGTGGCTGGTGCTGAGTATAGAAGAATCATCGAAATATCATGTTGGCTACGACTAATCACAATACTTGGTCGTTCTATAACTCCCAAAAATCTTTTCCATCTGTCTGACGACCACGTTTGCATTCTTCCATTTCATATCAAGGACTAAGAGTATGTATAGGATCATGTCAGCGATTCCTGTCTTTTGAAGTTGACATTGTGTAATCAAGTTCCGTCAGTATTCTACCGACGGGATCGAGTCCAATCATCGAACACACCTGCATGCAATTTCTACCAACATACTAGCCTGTATAATGTTTATCTACTCCCCATTTCTTTTACGGCAGGGCGTCATGTGAAACAAAACCACAATGATGTTGAGATATTTGCAAAACTTGGATCCCAGACAAGATCGAACTGCCGCTAACCATTCCGAGGGTTCACGTTTCCGGCGGCACTGCACCACCGAGGCCCGCGTTCTTCCTTACTCTGAGCTAGTCTTTTTACCCTAACGTCGCCATCGACAATCACCGGTCAACGGGAACGATCTGACGAGCACAAATCGGTATTAAAACCAGTTAAGCCGAGGCTGTACTCGAAATCACAATGTATAACTTTTTTTTTGCTGCAAAATTGGTTTGGATTTGCGTACAGTTTAATCAACTGAATAAGGAGTTTGTATTCCAATTTTGAGTTCATTTTCAGTGTTTTGGAATTGCCTGGCCATCGAATCTTCCGTCGAAAATGGAGCGACTTTTTCCGATACACAGCCGTCGTTGTTTTTATCATTGATCTATCCGAACTCTGTGATTCTGCCTTCTATACGGTAATGCGATATACTTTATGGATTTAGCTAACTCTTTCCATAACTATTCTACAAGAAAAATGGAATAATGTTCGTGCAAAAAGAATATCATACAGTTTCGGGATGACTGTCAAATCTGAGGCCCAAAAACTAGACATATTAACTACCATGAGGTTGTCTTCAGAAAAAGTTGAGCCGAACATCCATCGCTACAATGCAGTGCGAAGGGGTGCTTTTTGATAATTTTTCACCAGTCAGTATCATTCTCATCCATAGTGTTAAGCATGCAAATAGAGCATATATATATATATATATATATATATATATACGTTCGGTAATTCTGAGATATTTGCAAAACTCCGGACCGCAGGTGTTTGCAGTGGAGAACGAACGCGCTGTTTTCCTTTCCGGGGAGTAACGCGTTCACCACCACACCATGCGGGTTCTTCGTTTCGCCTGTCTCTCAGCTAGTTTTATCACTTACCATATACGTATATTTTTTATATGACCCGTCCTCACGTCTACTGTGCAGACCCCAGCACTTCTCACACTCGACTCGTTTCCTCGCAACCGTTGTGCGCGAAGATCCTCCAACTTTTACATAGAGCTTTCGCTCCTACTTGAAGATTTTGACTTCACCTTGGTTGTCGTAGAATCTGGTCGAGCAATTCTCCCTGGAGTCCTGAGATAGCAGAGCTGTAACGTTCCCTATTGGATTGCGGAGAGTGATTTTTTTCTGGACAAATCCAGTACTAATTTCCCGACACCGGAGGTATGACAGACCTGGTCGACCCGCAGCGGAATTGAACGAGCACCATGCTCGTGATGACCAACGTCACTACCACTGTGCTACCCGTCCCATATATATGTATGTATATTTGTGGAATGGGCGCGTGTGGCGCAGTGGTTGGAGGTGCCACTGCGACACACACGTGGAATCAATCTCCGCGCCAATTGGTCCACCAAGCTTTTCGTCTCTCCGGGTTCAGCGAATTGGTACCAGACTTGTCTCGGAGGATAGCAGCACTGGCTCGATACATCGGCAGGCCACCGCGAGTCATTGTAAAGGCCAGGTATGGATTCTATCACCTCCAACGATGCTTAATGATGTAGAACGCATGGCGCATCCCTCAGGGATTGGTTAACGCCGAGAATTTTACCCTTTTTATCCTTTATATATATATATATATATATATATATATATATATAAGATTAAGCGTTCGGGGTTTATCAGTCCTGTGCAACGTGATATACAGGTGGCTCCGTAAATGCCGTGGTAGGTATTCCTGGATGCATGTTTGACTTGTGAAACAAATTGATGGGGCTTGCCGATGTATCAAGTCAGTCCTTCGATCCTCTCAGACAAGCCTGCTACCAATTTAAAGACCACGAAGCGGTGAATGGCGTTTGAACCCGGGGCGTGACATTGAGCTAGTTTGTATTATGAGGCACTTCTAACTACTGCGTTGCACATTCTGTGAAGTTTCGTAATGTGCAATTTATGAAATGTATGTGATTTATTATAAGCGAGGCTCTATATACTTTTATACCATTGGTTTTGATGCTATGACATTTAACAAATATGAAAAGTAGTGCAAACCATTCGCGTTTGTTGCACGAATATTGAATAGATGTCTACCATTCCTCATAGCACCCATGCTACTGTTTCGAACTATATTCACAAAAACGGTAAGATTAACAAATTTGGAGTCTATTCTATTAACTGACGGCGGATTCCATGTTTGAAAGTACCCTTTTCTACACTTCCTTATTCATCCAGTCGGTTGTTCAGTTCGTTATCCTTGTCATCTATGAAGCCGCTGCACTTTGTCGTGTGAATTCGTCTGCAATTTGAGGATTTTACAGTTATTTAGTGTTTATCGAAGAGATTCTTCGTGAGCTCCTGGGAGCACTTTAGCAGAGTGTGTCCTTGACTTCACCATAGGGAAATGTCGTTGTCGATTGAAGGGTTTAGTAGACTCTTTCCAGTTTCAAGACAATTGTGGCGTCAATTCGCAGACTCCAAATGAATGGGAGAAAAGCATGATGGTTCGGGGCAAAGTCAAACCAAACAATGCGCCCTGAGTAGGAGCTCAATTCCCCTAATTCTGCAAATTCCAAATATGTTTAGAATTACGATTCTCATAAAACTGAGAGACTAGATCTGTAGATTCTAATTATTTTTTACTGAAATCGATGAAATCCACTGTCAGCAAGATACTTGGAAACTTGGATGGCCCGTTTTCACTGGTTGTACGAACCACAGCATAATTTCCATTTTTCGGGGTTTTGCTGGTTTAGCCATTCTCTGGAGTCCCGAGGTCAGTGTAGCCAAAGTCTGCACCAGGCCGTCACCACCACAGGCAGTCGCCGCCCTTGTGGATCAGAGTAAGATTTGCCACCATGCGACTAGTTTGATACCTGGACGGTGTTGGATCCTGGTATTGGTTTACTCTTAGCTGGACTTCGTGACGGAAACGCCGGACTCAGCTTGGGAGACCCTGCTAGGTGAATGAGTGCCCTCGCTGTAAATCGCAGCCCAACTCCCAGGAGCACTTCCCTACCACGATGAGGCGGCAAACCTTTGGGAGATCAGTCGATATATCTTCATTTAAAGTTGGAAACAGCCAATATTTTCACATCAAATATATTGTACGCAATGCATTTGCATCTGCGTTTTGCGCTTAAAGTTATAGTGAATGCTAGAATACTTGTTTACTAGATTTTTTGCAAAACATTAGAACTTTAGTTCTTTGGGTTTTCCATAAAAATTTCCTTTGTAATGCTGTGTTTGATATAAGCGGACACGAAAGGTTTGTCACAGACGACAACATGAATTGATTCGCTTGAACTAATGAGACTATAACTCGTGTGTGTGTCTGCAGGTCTTCGTCTCCCTTTAGAATGACTTTTTGTTCAGGGTCATCTGAAAAACAAGACGGTATCCATCTACGAAAACTTAGTGAAAAATGATCTTCTCAGTAACGTTGGATTCATTCTCTTATTTAATAAAAAAGACACTTTTGATGATATGGCTCGTGGATTCGATTTCAAACCGCTGTCAGCAAACGTAAGTCTTTCTTTCTGTTCGTTTCTCTTGATTTCGTCAATATTTAGGTTAACATACCTAAAAACCTAAAGATGTATAATAGTGCAACACAGCTGCAGAATTCAGTAGAATCTCGGATTGCGTTGCCCCCATGTATCTCGGGTGCCAGTCCCTGTGGTTGTAGTAGTAGCAGTGCCGTTTCGTAAAAGCATAAACACTCTTCTATTATATCAACTTTACCTCAGTAACCACCAAAGTGAAATAATTTTTAGAGTTTAATATAGTGATTGCAACATCCACTCTTACTGACGTATATCAACTATACTAGTGAAATCTGTGCGTATTTGAAGATTTAATGTCATGCCGGTGTTGGGTATATAACGACGGATTTAAATCCTCTTTACTCTACCGTACCCACATTTAATGCAGTTTCCATAGTGCAAGTGAGTAAAAAGTGTATAGTAATCGAATACCATGATCATTCAATGGGAATATGCCGAGGATCCTATTACCTTCATAACAGCTGAACTACGCCTTCAGAAGTACAACCGATACACCATGTAAAAAAACGTTAACAGTTCTGACCTTCATAGGTCCACCTTTATGATTCAGCTAAATATATCTAAAAGTAATGCGTTAATAAGCGAGTTATATGATGAATAGGTGACAACGGATTAGAATAACTGCATAAGAAAAAAAAAACAATCCCCTCACAGTTCTAATGGATGAGGTGCGGGTAATTTCCGTTCTCTTACAACTTTCATTTACTGTCTGTTCTTTTTACACGATAGAGCATGACATCAAATGTGCTTCGAACCCGCGATTACCCCTTCCGTATTTCCCATTCTGTCGAACTAACATCTATCACAGGAAACGTCAAAAATCAAAATGCAGCACTAATACTTCATCCAATTATTTCTTAGTAACTGTAATATTTCAGCTGCGATCGGCACAGGACGCTCTCAGTTACTATCGTATGCTGTTCTTAACCGCATCACCACCAAAACGTTCGTTCACTCATGTGATATCACTTTTAAATGCGCCAAAGTTAGGCGATATGTTAGCCGATTCATTACAAAGAATATTTAAATTTAATTCTCAAAGCACAGCAGTCTCTTGATCATCAAATGTGTCCCTAAATAAGGCACTGAGAAAGTTTACGAATTGGTTTCGAGCAGAGCACTGCACTGGAGTGCATCGTTGCTTAGCAGTACGGTTTATTTCATCTCGTTCACATCAAGCCCGACGATGTTTCGTTCTCTAAGATTTGCACTGGAAAGGAAGGACAAAGTAAATTCTTTCCCTTTCTTATTCCTGGTTTGATTTGCAATTACATATTGTTAACATAATTGTAAAATAAAGTGCTATATTCTGCATGGATATCGCGAATAACCAAATGAATTTTATTAGATGAAAACTGTACAGTGAAATTAATTAATTAATTAATTAAAATCGATCAATTGATTAGAATTGATTAATTGTCCCTATGGCATAAACAGACCCGGAAGAACAGGGAATGTCTTCTTGCGTCCAGTGCTAATACAGTTATATTCTAAATTTGTAACACAATTTATGGTTTTTCTTTTCTAATCCAAAACACAATGTTCAACTATGTGTTTTAACTTCTCCTCTTTGTAAAGCTCGTTTAACCTTTGAAGAACGTTGTGCAAAGAGTCCTGACCACGCATAAACTCAGCTACATCCGGCACCTAGAAACGACACTGAAGTTGAAAATATTTTCTCCAGGAGAAAAGGGATTGGAAATAAAATAAACGCAAAGTAGCGATCAGTGGAGCATTTCTATTACATTTAGGCATTCTAATAAAATATTTTCGTTTCGAAACATTTTCGACATTTCCATCCGGAAGGCCAGCTAAGAGTAAACCAATACCAATGCCATAAATCACCACCGTACTGTAATCAAAATAATCGCATGGTGGCAAATCTTCTGATCCACAAGGGCGGCGACTGCCTGAGGTAGTGACTACCTAAGGAAGGTTTCAGCTAGGCTGACCTCACTACTCCAGGAAATTACAATGGCTGATCTAGTAAGTTTCCGGAGGATGAAAATTATACTGGAGTCCGCACCGCACAACCACTGAATACGAGCTATCCAAGTATCCACGTAATAAAATATTGGTACTAGATTTGTCTGGGAGCAGCTGTCTACCTTCAGTCCACATAAGCTGGATCACCTTTGATGACAATCTGGGAATACCATACCATGGACAGTTTCGGGATTCCAGGGAGAAGTGAGTCGATCAACATTTAAAAACATTCATAAAAGTCGAAAATCCTCAAGCGGCAGTCAAACCCACAAAAAGATAATGGGTATAGGGATGTAAGGAAACTGATCCAATGCAGGAAATGATGAGATCCGTATAATATATGGAATCGAGCAGTAAACAAATAACAAAATAAATAAAAATAAAGTAAAAATAATGAAAAATAAATATGTAATGTGATTTACTTATTTATATGATCTCATAAAATGATCTCTTTTAGCTGATGCGAGGTTGGTATTGGTCTTCCTTGTCTTTGTTGTTTGTGTTCTTGGTCGATCGCTGACGTTTCGGCGATTTCTCCTTCCTCAGAGCCTGGACGTATTTTATATAAGAATGCTCTATTTATACGGTGGAAAAAAGACTAAAGTATTAAAGAAGATCAAACTTTTAAATAGACGCCATATTGAACGGAAAGACTACTCACTGTGATGTTACCAGTGTAACTGCCCCACGCGTTGTTAACGTGGGGTTGCGATCAAGACACACCCATGGGTCAAAATATCATTTTTGAAATAGGGCGCCAGGTCACGTGTGATGGTGAGGTATTCGTCTTTCCGGTTCATCTTTGGATTTTTGAAATTTATCCAAAACGCCTCAAGAGTTTTGCGCGTTGATGTTTTCGACTCCTGCGCTAGGATCCGCACAGTCACTTCAGAATCATCGCCATTGTGCTTTTCCGTCCTATGCGTACCTAGGGGAGTGTTTAGACGAATTTTAACTTTCCCATCTAGATGTTCTTTTATGCGGACACAAAGTGGTCTACCCGTTTCCTCGATATATTCCTGACCGCATGCCTTACATGAGATCAAGTATATTATACCTGAACTCATGCAATCCCCGTCTCTTCCGTTAGGACAGATCGTACAGTTTTCTGACCTGCACAAACGATCATAGAAACGGTTGCGAACTGACGGCGTAGAGTATTGGGTGGGATGCCAATAATCGTTACATAATTTTCTCACCCGAGTGGCTCCTACTTCGTAGCCATTGGAAATGACTATTTTTCGTGCCAGGTTTAGCGTTTCTTTCCTTTCCTCTTCTCCTCTACACACATTTTTAGCCGTACGGTACATGTTTTTGCTAAGTGCTTTTTCATGTGTGAAGGATGACAGGAGAGATAGTGAACCAGTATGTTTTTACTACTTGGCTTGCGATACCATTTTGTTAAATAGCCACTTACTGAGAGCTTTATTTGGATGTTTAAGAATGGAAGCCAGTTTTCAGTTGGTTTTTCCCGTGTGAATTTTATATACTCTGACTGCCTATTTAACAATTCAAATCACTCAGCCATCCGTTCTTGTGTGGAACAGACAATGAAGCAGTCGTCCATGTATCGACGGTAGAGTAAGGGTCGGTGATCGAGAAATCGAGAACTAGAGCTTCCACCTTAGATATGAAAGAGACAGCAAAGCTTGGTGCTAAATGCTGTCCCATGTCCAACCTTCTAATGTGTGCAAAGTATTTTCCAGATCACCTAAAGATTGAGCAAACAAGACATTGTTTTAAGAGAGTCATTAGTTGCGCAATCGACAAGCCGTACATTTTTATTTTCTTTTCGTGCTCTACGAGCAACTCGAGAATGGTTTGCATTGCGGAGTCGTCCGACACGTTGGTATAAAGTGAAGTAACATCGAATGACTCCATTACATGCATGCTGTTTGGCTGCGCGCACCGTAGGTGGTCTAGAAATATTTTCAGAAAACGGTATGATCTGTCCTAACGGGAGAGACGGGGATAGCATGAGTTCAGGTAGAATATGCTTGATCTCGTGTAAGGCATGCGGTGAGGAATACATTAAGGAAAACGGCAGACCGCTTTGTGTCCGCATAAAAGAACATCTAGATGGGAAAGTTAAAATTCGTCAAAGCACTCCTCTAGGTACGCACAGGGCACAAAAGCACAATGGCGATGATTCTGAAGTGACCTAGCGCAAGAGTCGAAAACATCAACACGCAAAACTCTTGAGGCGTTTTGGATAGATTTCAAAAATCCAAAGAAGAACCGGAAAGACGAATGCCTCACTATCACACGTGACCTGACGCCCCATTTCTAAATGATGTTTTGACCCCTGGGTGTGTCTCGCTTGCGACCCCACGTGAATTGATACTTTAGCCTTTTTTCCACCGAATAATTAAAGTACTCTTATATAAAATACGTCCAGACTCTAAAGAAGGCGAAATCGCCGAAACATCAGCCAACGGCCAACAACACGAACAACAACGACAACGACAAGGAAGATCTATACCAACTTCGCATCAGCTAAAGAAGATCAGTTTATAAGATCATATAAATAAATACATCAACTATCCATGCCGGGGTTTATGGAAAATTGGTCTTTTGAGTTATAATGTGATTCCTAGTAATAAAGAAATTCTACCTGTAGATGCAATCTATGTTCCGTTACTCTGTCATGCTGAAAGTTGTACGTTCGGATTTTTTCTGCTCGTGCTTTCGAACCAACCTGGAATGTTATTTTTACTTGTGCTCTACATCAACATCTGAACCTGCGGCCATTCGATTAGTCACGGGACAAGGAAGCACGTCCCCACGTGGCGGGTAGAAGATTAAAACTATTCGAAATAGACGATTGCGCTTGCCCTGAGGAGGTGGATTTAGAGGATGGGCTTATCGTTTCTCAGGCGCCGAACTGACATAAAACTTTAGTATGAATGTAGACATATTTCTGCATGCCTTCTCTGCATGTTCGCGTATATGCAGATTCTATTCTACAATAAAATCTGGCATAAAACTGCAATCAAGTGAGTTAGAAGTACACGAGGTGTAGTTAAGAGCAGCTTCCAACAAGCACCTTGCCGACCGTGGGAAAAACCCGCAAGCTGCACGTAGGTATGAATCATCAAACACGATAAAATAAATGGCCCTCAATGCACTAATTCTGGCAATTTACGTCCTACCTTGAAAAGCTCTACAGAATCGACATAAACGAAAATCAGGAGAGAACAACAGCAATGATGGCTGAAGTCCAGAAGACTATTCGCCGCGCCCGCCGAAACTTCGTCAGTTGCAACATTAAGACGACTTTCTACTTCTGTTCAGCAAACATGTGTTTGTTTTATTTCCTTATTTACGTACAAGCTGTTTCGGCGGATTTCGCCCTCCTCAGAGCCTGGAAAGGTCAAGTTGACTGCAATCTACACGGCCAAACACCTCGATAACCCAACAAAGAAAATGCTGAACCAAAATTTCAATCACATTGAGTCTTTGCACACTCACCACTTTCTATAAGTCTTCCACTAAATATGTCATGTGGAGACCAACCGCGCAGAGTTCACATGGAATCGTATTGTGCACATTTCATGAAAATAACAGGCTTATATACTACCAAATATCACGCGTGATAATGAGGCATTCTCCCTGCGGTTCATTTTCGGATTCTTGGAATTAATCCAGAATGCCTCTAGAGTTTTGCGCGCTTGTGTTCTCGATTCTTGCACGAGGATCGTAACCCCTACTTCGAACTCTTCTCCGTTATGTCTCTGCGTCCTATGCGTGCCTAGTGGAGTATTTGGTTTACGTTTGCCGACTAGATGTTCTTTTATACGGACGCAGAGTGGTCTACCCGTTTCGCCAACGTATTCGTACCCGCACGCTTTATAAGAGATCAGATACACTGTACCCCAACTCATGCAGTCACAGTCTCTACCATGGGGAAAATTATGCAATTTTGCGTTGCACATAGACGGTCGTATAGACGGCTACGAACTAGCTGGCGTCTTAGATTACTCGGTGGCATTTCAATTATCGTTACCGAATTCTCTAGCCCGGCCCTTCTTAAACAGCGTTTTATAGCTGCACTTACTTCATTTGAAATGAAGGACGGTATAAACAGGACTTTATTGTCGCTAGAGTTATCGTTGGGGTACCTGTGGTTTCTTCTACACATATCTCGAGCTACAGTTTCGTAGCCATTAAAAATGGCTATTTGCCGCGCCAAGCTCAGGGACTCCTCTCACTGCTGTCTTCCTGTGCACACGCTGGTATTCGATACATGTTTCTCACAAGCGCCCTTTTCGTGTGAGAGGGATGAGAGGAGAGGTAATGAACTAGGATGTCTTTACTACTTGGCTTTCGATACCACTTCGTAATGTAGCCGTTTTCTGATAGGCTAATTTGCACGTTCAGAAATGGAAACCAGTCTTCTTTTGGTTCCTCTCGGGTTAATTTAATATACTCTGACTGCTCGTTCAACAACTTGAAACATCTGTCAATTTCCTCTTGTGTTGAACAAATGACCAAGCAGTCATCTATATATCTATAGTAGAGTAACGGACCGAGGTCGACTACTGGCGCTTCACCTTAGACATGAGTGCAATAGCAAGGCTTGGTGACAGTCTCATTCCCATTGTCAACCCTCTATGTGTATGTATATATATGTATATGTATATATATGTATATGTATATGTATATGTATGTATATGTATATATATATATATACATATACAAACAACCACGACTTATTTACTAGATATCGAGCTAGAAATACTGAGCAGAATATCTTTAATGCACTGAACATTGCGTTTTCAAGGTCTTAAGCCAATTTCGAATTCCATTCTTGAAATATTAATAAATAATGATTGAAGGGCTTTCACTGAGAAGAATATAAACCGTAAGGAACATATATAACTTGTGCTATCGTTAACAGTTACAGGATTATAGCACATTATAAACTGCCTGATGGGTGAATATGATAACTGCCTTCAAAGCGCTGCAACTTTATAGAACTGCTGCAGTCGGATTCGGTAGGATATAAAGCGTAGGTGGCATAGTGGCTGTCATTGAAAACACCCTGATCCTGGCCCCTACCAATCCGAAGTCAAAAAATTTTCACCACACCCGTCTGGGATGAACACGCCCTCTCCAATTCACAAGAAATGGCGAATGCCTGTGGTGGTGATACCAAGCACGGTTATCCCGGAATTTCGGGGAGAATCGGCTCTCCAGCATTTAGCTATATTGTGAAGACCAAAAATCGCCCAGCAACAGCCGAAACCACACGAAAAAATCCAAAGACCTTCATGGATGATGGATGGAAGGAGACGAGTCGACTATAAGTACTGCTGAGACCCAAACGACGCTGGATTTCATAAAATTGAAAAGGTTACGATATTTCATGGTGCTAGGGAATCACGACTATTGGCTTGTCTCGCGTTACAGTCGTAACCCACGTTCGACAATTTGTGCTATAAGTGATGAAGACGAAGATGTGGAAACGTTAGCAGAGCAAGCATGTGGTAACAACCTCGTGTTAGCTTATAAATGAAATAAGGCACTTGTGCCATGTTCAAAAGGAAACCTGCAATTTCCTGTCCGAGGAGAACTTTTCACTAATCTCGTCGACTTTCCGTTGCATAAGAATCGCAGCTAATCGTTTGAATGCAATCTGAAATTCATTATCTTTCGGATTTTCTGATTTCCCAATATCTATTGAAAGATATATTACTGGACCTGAATATTGAGGTGCTGGAACCGCTCTTCCATACAGTGGACGACAATTCCTGTCTCGGTATGTGTGAGTCTAACGGCTGTCGATCGTTTATTTACATTCTGTCCTCCCGGTCCAGAAGCTCGCATAGTTTCCAATTTCACCGACTCCGATGGAACTACCACGGAAACCTATATAGGGGACAATGAATTCCTATATATACACGGAATTCTGTGCACTAAACACCTCTTCTGGCTCAGGAAGAACGGCAATACTGGCAGTACTAGTATGCATTCGTGATTTATCAGTTTGAGGAATTCGTTGCACGCGGTGGACACCAGCTTCGAATCTCAATAAGAATACTCCATTATGAAAAAAGATGTTATTTAAAAAAAGAACTAAAGACTACCTAAGATCAGCGTATGCATTTTCACCTTCAACAGCTACCAGCGCAGAGCGCACTCCACCTAGATCGGACTCTTGGATTTGAAGTGGCGACCACTTCCATCCACGCCACTCCGAGTACTTCGAATACATGTCAACAAGCTCACCAGTAAAGAGCATCGCTTCCTGACCACCAGCACCACTGAAGTTCATCATCTTCTCCTTCTCAATCTAACTACAAAACATAACAGGAAGTGCTATTTTATTTCTTTATTTACGCACAAGATGACGTTTCGGCGGATTTCGCCTTCCTCAGAGCCTGGAAGGGTCAAGTTAACAGCAATCCATTCGGCCAAACACCTCCATAACCAAACACAGAAAACGCTAAACCAAGATTTCAATCACATTTACCATAGCTCTGCACACTCACCGCTTTCTATGAGTCTTCCACTAAATATGTCGCGTGGAGACCAATCGCACAGAGTTCACATGGAATCGTATTGTGCCCATCTCATCAAAATAACAGGTTTATATACTGTCCAATATCACGCGTGATAACGAGGCGTTCCCCCCTGCGGTTCATTTCCGGATTCTTGGAATTAATCCAGAATGCCTCTAGAGTTTTGCGCGCTTGTGTTCTCGATTCTTGCGCGAGGATCGCAACCCTTACTTCAAAATCTCCTCCATTATGTTTCTGCGTGCTATGCGTACCAAGTGGAGTGCTTATCTTACGTTTGCCGACTAGGTGTTCCTTTATACGTACGCAGAGTGGTCTACCCGTTTCGCCAACGTATTCGTACCCGCACGCTTTACAAGAGATCAGATAGACTGCACCCCAACTCATCCAGTCACCGTCTCTACCATTGGAGCAAATTATGCAATTTTGCGTTGCACATAGACGGTCGTATAGGCGGTTACGAACTAGCTGGCGTCTTAGATTACTCGGTGGTATTTCGATTATCGTTACCGAATTCTCTAGACTGGCCCTTCTTAAACAGCGTTTTATAGCTGCACTTACTTCATTTGAAATGAAGGGCAGTATAAACGGAACCTTGTTGTCGCTAGAGTTATCGTTGGGGTACCTGTGGTTTCCTCTACACCTATCCCGAGCAACGGTTTCGTAGCCATTAAAAATGGCTATTTGTCGCGCCAAGTTCCGGGACTCCTCTTTCTGTTGTCTCCCTGTGCACACGCTGGTAGCTGTTCGATACATGTTTCTCACAAGCGGCCTTTTCGTGGATGGGAGAGGGATGAGAGGAGAGGTAATGAACTAAGATGTTTATACTACTTGGCTTTCGATACCACTTCGTAATGTAGCCGTTTTCTGATAGGCTAATTTGCACGTTCAGAAATGGAAACCAGTCTTCTTTTGGTTTCTCTCGGGTGAATTTAATATACTCTGACTGTGTGTTCAACAACTCGAAACATCTGTCGATTTCTTCTTGCGTTGAACAAATGACCAAGCAGTCATCTATACATCTACAGTAGATTAACGGACCGAGGTCGATTACTGGCGCTTCCACCTTAGACATGAATGCAATGGCAAGGCTTGGTGCCAGTCGATAACCTATTGCTAACCCTCTCATTTGTGCGTAATACCTCCCGGACCATCTGAAGATTGAGCATTTCAGGCACTCCTTTAAGAGTGTCATCAACTGCTGAATCGAGAAGCCGTACATGTTTATTGCTCCTTCGTGTTGTATAAGGAGCTCGTTTATGGCTTGCATAGCGGAGTCATTCGACACGTTCGTATAGAGGGCAGTGACGTCGAAGGACTCCACCACGTACGCGCTGTTGGGTCGCGCGTTACGTAGACGATCCAGGAACATTTGGGTGTTCGTTAGATGAGCTTGAATGTACTTCAACAACTGAGTAAGTATTAGGGTTATTAACCACGTTGTTCTATCCGTTGGCCCGTCCACGCAGATAATGATAGGTCTAACCTTAAATAACGATGGATCGGTAGACACGAGATCATCGTTGGATACTAACTTATGGGTTTTGATAAATAAGTACAGGACGGGACATGTTGGTAAGTCAATTTTGAGATGAGAGATAACTGATGGTTTTAACCCAACCGCTCTTGCCACTTTAACCCATTCGTTGTTTAACTTTCGGTATTGACTCTTAAATTCCTTCTCAGACGACGGACGATAAAGGGAAGCATCTTTAAGGTGCTTTTCCGTTATCTCAACATCTAACTGATGGGGAATTACAACGAAAGAAGATAAATAAAGAAATAAAATAGCACCTCGTGTTTGCTGAACAGAAGTAGAAAGATAACAGGAAGTATTTCAAAACCGATGTCCCTCTAACTTCAGTATAACTAATCAATATGTATTCTTTTTTTATAAGCTTAGACGAGGTTGATAAATAATCTTTATTCGGCTAACGTTTCGACGTCTTCCACTTCATCAGTGCCGATGATCCGAGTCTATGGTCCACAGTTGATCGTCTTCTCGATGAACACTGATAAAGACGAAGGCGTCGAAACGTTAGCCGGACAAGGATTCTTTATCAACCTCGTGCAAGTTTATCAAAGAAGGAATACATATTGATTAATCAAACCAAGGTTAAAGGAAAGTCGGTTTTGAAACAGTGCTATGCTCTCTGCTAGCTCATAATGATTTCGAGTTCCGCAGGATGGATTTCTCGGGAAAAAAACAAGTTGTTATCACCGGACAATCACTATTATCAACAGCCAGCATCCTGTATTAATGAGCGCTGCCGGATGAGCATGGGTCATTCCAGCGCTGTTCCCCTGAAGAAAATCCGACTCGGTATGACGACGTAGATGACACACCGAGAAAACGAACAATTCTGGACTATCGACTCGGATCATCGGCTCTGATGAAGACGAAAACGTGGAAACGTTAGCAGATTAAAGATTGTTTATCAATCTTGTGCAAGCTTACCAAAAGAAGACTATATGCTCGTAAGAAGTGTAGCATAAGAAGTTTCTCGGTGACGGTCTTCTTCACAATAATTTCGAAGGATTTTTCAAAAAAAAAGACAAATATTCGACTTTTATTATTTTTACATGGCCCAACATCATGTACTGAGCAAATTCCGTAATCCACAAAGGTCTCTGGATTTGCGGGTGGATTCGGGTGCTGCTTGGGAAGTTTCAGCCCTCTCCAAAAACATCATTGAGTTTTGATCTAATCGACTCTTGATGGAATCATAGGACAGCCATGCGAGGAGTTCAGCGAGGTGAAACTTCGTTTGCTCAATGCTGTTTAAAACTCTATAACTACGCTACCAGAGCCTTGTATTCAACGCGCGTGACTCAATTGGATGTACAGAAATGGTTATAAAATAGAACGAAATAAATGAAAATTCTGGAAGATGTTGGTGCCCTATGTACACAAACGTTTAACTGACTGGAATATTCTTTGACCAAAACTTGGACCGACCTCCTACGTAATGGTCGAATTTCATCTCACCACGTTAGTTAATATTTGCATACTCTGTTTCACTCAACTAGAATGTTGGCAGTTCGCCAAGATTTTCTCCTGAACCTTCCAGAAACTTTAGCCAAAGAATTCTCAAGTTGCTAGCCCTCGTGAATTGGAGAGATGTCTACTAATCTAAGACTGAGTTACTGTCAGAACGATAAGCATTCCTGGCATATATTTATTCAAAAACTTCCCAGTTGGAACTGTAATATTCTACTTTCAGTTTGCATCATTCCTTTAGGAACGACCCCACGTCATACAGCAACATCTCAGGACTACACGATGGCATTAAACTATTCGGAGTTTACTGTACTGTGCTAGTGAGAACACGTTCACTTAAATAAACAAATCATGCTGTGATGAATAAATTCCCAACTGATATTCTTCTTGATCTTGCATGTATAAAGAAACTTTCTAAAAGGTTCTGACCTTGTGAACTCCATCTGACATTTTCGCAACATGTCTATCTCGGTAATAGGCACAATACGATCAATGAGATCCTTCTCGGCGGATAACAGGGCTTCCTCCATCGCTCCTCGTTCCTCTTCAGCCATCATCCGAAGCTCAGCATCATGCGACGCTTAACAGAACTACTGTAGAAGCAGTGTAATAGCAGTACATCAATGGTCATCAACTGATTATCTCATCTCTCTAATATATTTGCAAGTCAAATACTTACGAAAATCCAGCGCAATTTATCCTGAAATCGCTTAATCCAATTTAGAAAAGACTAGGAAACAGAAGAACCTAGACCGCACATGTCATAAGAGCAACCAGTTGCTGGATCTCATTTCGTTTCTGTTGAACCATATGAGAAGCTTGACAAATGCCGTCCCAGTACGGTACTCGTAGATGGCCATCGATGGAATCTCCACAACGGCAGGCAGCCAAACGAGCGTCAATAGCTGCGAGGAATGCGGCGCCTTTTTCACTACTAAGGACCGCTCGGGCCATTGAAAAAATCGAAGTAGAGATTCTCATGATCTGAAGAACAATTTACTAAAGATCTTCCTGTTATATTCACAAATAGTACTCCGATGGGTCAAAACTCGACAAACACATGCAGTTGTTTGAAAACAGCCATGAAACCTAACAGCTCTTACGAAATTTGGCTACGTTTCACCAACGAAGAGACGTATTGCTATGTTAAATTTTTATTTGCTGTTTACTATAAACCTTTCACTGTACGGTATTAAGAGAAGTACAACCATAGTCATGCTGAGATATTTGCAAAAGTCCGGACCGCAGGTGTCTGCGGTGGGGAACGAACGCGCTACTCTTTCTAGAGTATAACGCGTTCACCACCACAATATGTGGGTCCTTCGTTTCACCTTTCTCTCAGATGGTTATCTATCTATGGCACTGCTAGGTAGAAAATTAGCTGAGAGACAAGCGAAACGAAGAACCCACACGGTGCAGTTGTGGGCGAGTTAGCCTCTGGAAAGAGCAGTAGCGCTTTCCTTACCCACCGCAGACACCTGCGGTCCGGAGTTTTGCAAATATCTCAGCATCATTGTGGCTCTATTTCAATAAACGTATTGCTTTTTAGCTTTTTTGCTCACAACTAAATAGCATGAAAAATTCAAAGAGCATAAAACAACAGATTAACGAAATATGCAAAGAGCAGTGGAATTTTGAGTACAGAGACTATAAACTGTGAAATCACAACCGAAGCTTTCCATCACCTGAATAGACATCCGATAACTCCTTGAGAACGGTGTGTATAGAAAGAATCCTTATATACGACAGCGTTAACCAACGTGAACTTCACCTACTTTCAATTAGTTTGTGTCCCCAATAAATTTGTCTCCATGGGGCGAACAACTATCATCTACTGAGATGTCATATGGCCGACTGGATCAGTTGGTTCTCCCTGCACAAACGACACATACAGCATCAATTCTCAGATACAATCCTTTCGAAAAGCTTTACTATTTAACATGTGTCTTTCTGCTATGCAATTAATATTCCATGGCTTTTATTGCTGAACAGCTTTTAATCACCGGTTGTCCTTAAGATGTAGCTCTTGTCCAGCACACATATGTTTCGATATTCCTCGATGTAGGACTCCTTTCCTCAACTGATAATGTCTACTGCTAGAATCACTCTTCTCGATAACTTGTTTATTAACGATCAATGAACTTTTCATGGTTTTGCACTCTCTACATTTCCCGGGTGTGTACAAAACAGGAATAATTGCAGAGTCCAGGTGGGCGCGGAGCCAAATGTTTTCTGCCTTCTCCACCTCATCACCCGATGATACCCCATTCCAGTATCCGCGTAATAACTCGAGATTAGAAAAGAGAAAATAATTTCTAAGAATAGAAGGTACTGCCCAATACGAATCTCTCCTTACGCTGATGATGTTACGGTAAAACAGTAATATCCTGGTGGTGAGGCACACGCCTAGCTTCGTTCTGTCTTTTTCTTTTTCCTCCTCGTGTACTGAGCAGAAGCCCTGCTCTTCATAGCATTTGCGACCACGTATCCCAGAAGTCGCAAGCCTCTCTCTATCTTATTGGCGACGGGAAGTGACATACCGACCCATGCTTGGTAGTTTATTTTGCTGCAGAGAGCTTATTTTCTGCAAATTTTGGAATAGCTCAATACATTATTCGAAACCGATATTGTAGCAAGTGTTGATCGAGCAAAGCTTTATTATAGACCTACAAATGTGAAAAGGCATTTTTTCGGGTCAAATTTATTGACTAGTAATTTAACTCACAATCGTTTTCTTTTCTAGCTCAATTTCAATCGCTATAAGGTTGCCGTATTGAATGGGTGGATATAGTAAGTGCAGAAATAAATGCAACACAAGATGCAAAACACTTCGAAATGCTGATAGGAATGTTCTTGTATGGTGTGACAATAGTAAACAATGGATACCTAGTTGAATACTTGCACGACTCGTCCTCACTGGAGTGCGGGCCCAGCATGTTCTCCATTTTCGGAGCTTTGCTGGCCTAGCCATTGTGTTTCCCTGGAGCCCCGTAGTCATCCTGGCCAAAGTCTGCCCCAGAACGTCACTACCAAAGGCAGTCGCCGCCCTTGTAGATCAGAGGGAGATTTGCTACCAAGGAACTAGTTTGATACCAGGGCAGTGATGGATCCTGGTATTGGTTCACTCTTGGCTGGGCTTCCTGATGGAAACCCCGGACTCCTTATCAGCTTGGGAGACCCTGCGTGGGGACGAATCCCCCAGCTGTACATCGCAGCCCGGCACCCTGGAACACTTCACAGCCACGATGAGGCGGCAAACTGTTCGTAGTATAGAAACAATGGTATACAAAAACATATATAACATGAATAACTAAAACTGCACAGCAAAGTCTCTTCTGTAACTATTTGATGTTCTCAACCTCCCAACTGCTCTATTTATTGGAAAATTATTATCTACTATCGAGAAATCAGCAGGTCCATAACGATACAAAATTGAGCGTCATTCATTGCGCTCTCCACAAAAAATTAGGTGTTGATCCTGACAGGTTAACCCATTCACGACGAGGAAACACATTCCACACTAAAGTGTCCAGACTTGGGTTTAATTTTCAGTTCAGTGAGTTCCTAAACTTCTTTACCGCACTGTGTATTTCGTTCAAAAGCTAATCGAAAGCAGAACAATGTAGGCAGGGTGAGACCAAAACAGCCTTTACACTTAATGAATTAGAAAAACCTCTTTTCGGAAAAAATCGTCGATCAATAATTCGATAACAACTAAGTGTTCTTTCATTTTAATCACTATGGTTATTGTACGGAACACTGGCATATAAGAGACACAGAAATCGATTCAACAGACTCGAAATAGGATGCAACATATTTCCGAGTACTGACAGTAATACGTTTGCACAGTGTACCAAAATAACACCTGGTAATACCTGGAAAACACTACTCTATGTATCATTCACATTCAAAATAGCGGAGTGTGTAACGCAGTTGTCGAAGACACCCTGCAACACACACGGGATCTATCCTGCGCCCAAGGCGGCTCACCAAACCTTCCATCCATCCGAGGTCGGCAAACTGATACCAAACTTATCTGAGATGATAGCAGCCCTGGCTCGATACATCAGCAGACCACCGCAAATCATTGTAAAGGCCAGATATGCATTCAATAACCTCCAACGATGCTAAATTAAATCGAATACACGGCGCATCCCTCAGGGATTGTTCAACGCCGAGAGCTTTTTAGCTTCTACTTACAAAAGAAAATAGAGCAAACTCTCCCCCAAAATTCTGTCATGTACACAACCTCTAAAAATTTCTAACTATTAAAAAAATCTTTTTATTCTCAAAAAACCAAGAGGTCCGCAGCAGACGAAAAATTGCTCGTATTCCAATAAGACGGCCGCACTAATGAGGAGCCGCCACTAATGGGTTAAAGTGAGAGAAAATAAAGTGGTGATTGGGTTACTTTAACTTATTCCACCCAGAATGGACACTGTAGCGTTGTGGACCCCACGACCGGATGGACACTTCAATGCCCATACTGAGATTAGTGAGTTCCAGAACTCTTTTCTGTCGGACAATGCATAGTCATTCGATAGCTAGTCAAATGCAGATCAAGATATTAGAGGTAAGACAAGAAAAGCCACTGTCTACACCTAATGGCTAAAAAAACCCTTCTTCGAAAATGTTCATTGATAGGTAATTTGACTAACAATTAACTGTTTACCTTTTTTATCTACTGCCTACTAAAATTTTCACGGTAGGCTATTAGGCGAAATCAACCACTACGATGGTGAGATACTCGCAAAACTTGGACGCCCTGCCCCAATCGAGTCACGATTTACCTTTCCGAGGTCTCGCGCATTACATACTGCGCCACGGAGGCGCTAAAGGTTATGCCATACATTCGATTTTACTAAGCATCGTTAGATGACCATATTCAAATATGGCCTATACAACGGCCTGCCGTAGCATAACGATGTCTCGAGTTAGCGTTGCTATCCTCCGTGAGAAATCTGGTTTCCAATTTATCGACCCAAGAAAGGTGGAAGGCCTTATGAGCCCGGGGCGAGATCGAACCAAGAACTTGTGGACAGCCAATGGTCAGTGGATACCATACACTGTGCTGAAGCGTTTTTAGAGTGCTGCTTGCTCGTTAGGTTGTCTTTCATCCAGTAATTAGACAATATATAAAGTGAAAAGTTTGATAAACAAATACGTAAAAAAAAATTCAGCTTTTAATCCTGTTCATTCCTTTTAACCCTATGTATCACGATGTGAAGCCCTTCATACGTTCCACAGGAGTCAATCTTTAATCACCAAATACGACTTACTTTGAGGGTGTCAACTCTCTGTGAAGCTTCATCATTTCTCCGGTAATATAATGGAAGAGCTGAGAACTTCACAGACTTGAATAAGACTGTTCCACCACTTTACAGGTACATATGTAAATTCTATAATATATTTGCACCATTCCCATTGATTAGCTAACATGAAGGCTACAAAAGCCAACTAGAACTACAACAATAGTTAATAACTACGATGATAATTACTATACTAGGAAAAATTAACAAGCACGTCGACAAATTATTACTCTCCATGTGATACAGTTCTAATTTTGAATTCTCCTTAGGAGAAACCTCCCAACGGTTTACCGTCTCATCGTGGCTGGGAGTTGTTTCTCCTGTGTCGAGTAGCGATGTACAGCAGAGGGATTCATCCCCCTGGCAGGGTCTTCCAAGCTCAGGAGTCCGGCGTTCCCACAAGGAAGCCTAGCTAAGAGTAAACCAATACCAGGATCCACCACCGTCCTGGTTTCAAAGTCGCATAGTAGCAAATCTCCCTCTGATCCACGAGAGCAGCGACTGCTCGTGGCGGTGAAGACCTGGGCAGACTTTGGCTAGGTTGACCTCGAGATTCCTGGGAACTAAAATGGCTTAACCAGCAAATCCCCGAAAAATGGAGATTACGTTGGGGTCCGCACAACCAGTGAGAACGGGCCGTTCAAGTATCAAATATCACGTAGACAGTATCTTAGGAGAAAACGAAAATTTAATCAGGATAGGACAGGAGGACTTAAATCATGTAGGCAAAGATCTGTAGAATCTCACTGTTTCCACTGCAGTTAATAAGGTTCTCTCTGAGCTAAGGCATGCTTGTTTTATGTTAAAGACAGCCATTATTCCCAGATCGAAGGATTCCATGTGAGCTCGCTGCCAAAATCACATGAGAGAAAATCAGTCAAAGAACTCGCTGTAGAACATAGAATACGGCTAAGTGAAAACATAGCGCGGTTTGTACCAACACTGTTGCTGATGAATGAAATAACTAATACTTAAAGACCATTTATGATAAATGCACTTATAAACAATTCCTACAATCGCAGTGTTGAGAAGATCAACGCATACAAGTTGTACGTATCAGCAGTTGAAGAGAAACAGCACCAACAAGACAGGGAGAATTCGCCGATTGCCATAAAGAGTAAAACATGGTTATGACACCTTGAAAAATTATAGTCAAGTCAGTAATTTAAAATAAAAGTGACAAGGTCTATAGGCACAAAGAAATAAATATCAGTTATTGGTTGGTAATACTGGCAAACTGACTTGTCAGCAACACATAAAATATATCCCTAAATGTTATACAAATCATGGCGTCTTTTCAGTGGCAGTAACAATAAAATGGCAGTCATATGAGATATGGAATCAATAACTATAGATTACACGTCGCAACTCGCAAAAAACTCTGTACTTGCGTGAATATCCTTGGTCACTTGTTCCAAACGAGAATTCAGCTCATCCAACGTTCGCTGATAATCGTCTAATCGAACATCCGATGCGTCCTTCGTCAAAACTGAAAACTCAGAAGTAGTCTTTTGAGCAATCATTAGTGGTTACATGAATAATAAAAAAAGCTAAAAGCTTTCAGCGTTCATCAATCCCTGAGGAATCCGAAATACACTCGACTTCATTAATAATCGTTTGAAGGTAACTTGATGCCCTTTACAATAACTCGCGTTGACCTGCCGATGTGTCGAGCCACTGCTGCTACCCCCCCCCCCTCAGACAAGTATGGTACCAATTTGCCGATCCCGGAGGGACGGAAGGCTTAGTGCGCCATGGGCAAGTGGAACGATTCCAAGTGTGTGTTGGAGTGCGCCCCGACCACGGCTGCCCTATATGAATAATAAAAAACGATACACAATAGTAAGGTCACGTGTAGCGCAGTGGTCGGAAGCACCCTGCAATACACATGGCATGGTTCTCCGCGCCCGTGGCTCAACAAACCTTCCATTCGCCCAGGATCGGTAAACTGACATCAGACTTTACTGGAAGCTTAGCAGCACTGGCTCGACACACCGGTAAGCCACCGCGAGTCATTCTACGGGCCAGATATGCATTCAATCACTTTTTACGATGTTTAATGAAGTCGAATGCATGGCGTATCCCTCAGGGATTGGTCAACGCCAACAGCTTCATCCTTTTTCTGTACAATAATAGTACACTTTCAATGGTAAGCAGTTATGAAAATTAGTCTCGTCGCGTTCATATACACAGGCTGTGCGAATGAATTACATAAAATTTTTCTATGTATTGAAACTCAAACAAATACTATGTGTGCAGCAGTCCAAGAACCAAGGATAAGTTTTTTTTCATTTGAAAGAATAGAGATCGAACGAAATACTACCGCAAAAGGATAAAAGATAACAGTTTTCAGCGTTGATCAACCCCTGCAGGACGTTATAGAGAAGTGAACGCATATCTGGCTTATACTGTGACTCGCGGTGTCTCACCAATTTATCGAGCTAGTGATGCCGACCTCCGAGACAAGTTTGGTACCAATTTTCTGATCCCGGAGGATTTGAGGGATTGGTGGACGCGGGGTGCAAATTGTGTCGTTTTGACTTCTTCAGACTCTGAATAAAGTGAAACCGCCCACACTAGCCAATACTGGAAAATCCTTTTACTGACAATTTTGTGTCTGCTTAAGAATAGAAGACTGAGAACATTGGCTCGTAGGAACCAATTCGCAGTCACCTAGGTGTAACATGCCTTCATTAAAAACACAAGTCGTTACAACTTAGTGTAGTTAACATCCAGCTGGGGTCGAATCGAGATTTGACACTTAAGCCAAGAGGTCTAAAATTTCATTCCAGCTATAAATAAACATATGCCAGAAATAGCTTCCGCCTTGATATAAGCAAAGTGTTAAATTTCTCTCCTCTTCAAGTGAAGACGACTACCTGTGGAGTTGACTTTGGAATGACCTGCCACGGGGTCTTTCAGTCTCCAAAAGAAAATGTCGGAAACGAGGGTCGGAAAGGAGGAATCAAACGGATCGCAAAGTTTTTCATGAAGACAAACCATCCAAATATTCAAACACAACAGGTACTAAATTCAAATACTACACTCACCGCTTATGTCATCGCTACTTCTTTGTGCCTTGTACAAAAGCTTTGAAGCTCTCTGTCGCAAAATCTCAGCTCTTTTCTGGGGTGCTTCATTGCCTTGAGTTCGTTCAGATAGTAACCTCTTTGCTTCTTCAATATCCATCTAAATTAACCCTTACCAAATGCAAAAAAAGTGAATCACACATAAGGTGAAGACAGCACGCAAAGAGAAAGGAAGAAATAGTGCACAAACCGTCATTTGCTTATTTCCATGCTCGGCAGTTTTGGCAGCTTGAAGTGCCTTGTCGACCAAGTTGAAAGCATTTTTAGCATCATCAGCAATTTGCAGATATTGGACCTTGACTTTTTTCATCTCCGCTTCGAGGCTAGAAAGGCTCGAGTTGACATCTTTTGCACGAGCTTCTGTAGTGTCGGTTTCCGCCTTAGCAGCATCAAGATGCTCCCTTAATGAGATATAATTTTTAAAAAAATCTCGAAAACGACATAAAGATGGTAAATAAGCCAAGATATTACGTACCTAGCAAGCTTCATCACTTCCTCAGCTGAAGTTATTGCCTCGGAAGCAACTTCCTGGGCTTCTTTGGCAACTTCGATCGCCTCCCTTACCGTATCAGTGGTATTCTTGATGGTGGCCGCACGTGCACTCGCATCAAGAGCCTTGAAAACGTTACAAAATATTCGCGCTGCGGAATTAAAGGTACAAAAACGTAATAATCACCTTTGCTTCGAGAGTAGAAGCAAGGGTTTTATTCCCACGAGTTTCAGCTAGAATTGCACCAATGTTGTTAATTTTCGCCAATGAACTACGGATCTGAAATTTTATATAAAGCAAAAAAGAGAGAAAAACACCTCCGAGAATAAACATACTTTTGCAGTAAGGTCCTTTACTTGTTCTGGAGTGAGACTGATTTTCTTCGCAAGGACTTCCTCTGCCAGAGCTCTGATTTGCTCGGGCGAACTCCTAGGAAATCGATGCAATAATGAATTTCTAAGAAATACTTTTAAATGGTTCACCGTTACCTTGAACTCTTCAAGAAGTTGTTCATTTGGTCGACAATCTGATCCAGATCTGTCCTCGAAGAATTCGTTCTCAAAGCAGCATTTTGAGCAACTTCCAAAGCAGCCAAGGCATCTTTCCTAGCGGCTTCAGTAGTGTGAAGTACATCTCGAACAAGTGATAATACCTATGAACTGCACCTATTCGTATGTTTGAGAGACCAGTAGTTTGAGACGTGAACCAAGAAAATACTCCGCAATGAAAAAAGAGATCTGCTGATAAAATTCAACACCTCTTCCGCTTCTTTCTGCTTTTCGTTCAATTTCAAATCTGCTTCCAATGAAAAGCTTCGTGCTTGTTCTGCTTTGCTAACAGCACCCTCCAGGCAAGACTGACCACCGCAAAAACCACATTCACCTGGACCTGTAAATGCAACAAATGAACGTGAGTTGTAGGAATTTCAAATAAGAAAGGTTTATTCAAGAAACTTGAAAGACGTGACAACTACTAACCTCCGCAAAGAGCATCACAAGGTGCAGATGCAGCCCCACAGACCTCCGCATTCAATTGTGGTAGTGCGGCTTCCAACATGTACAACTGAACATGGATATATCCAACCAACCTTATTGCAAATAAAAGTTGTTTTAAATCCTAAAACACATAAGGAGTGAGAAAACACAATATAGAGCAAAACTCCGGACGGCAGATGTTTGTGCGGTGGGGATGGAACACACTAGTACCCTTTCCGGAGGCTAACCAGTTCACCAACACACCATGCGTGTCCTTCGTTTCGCCTTTCTCTCAGCTAATTTCATATCTACTAGTGTCAATAGCAATCACCCGTCAATGTAATTGATCTGGAGAACCCAAATCGACATTGATCGACAGGCTTAGCTTAACTGGGTTTCACATAATACCCTCCTGGAAAAATTGTAATAGGAGGTAAATAAAAAAGTTAACACAATAACGAGTACTATGCATGTCATCTCTAAAAAAATTTTCTCTCTCCGGAAACGTAACCCCCGAATATACGATAATTCTGTTACACTCACAGCAAACACAACAGTACCAACTCGAAATCTGTCCTATCCTACTTTAACCCTCCATAGTAAAAAAAAAACTGTGCTGATGCAGTAGAAAAAAAAAAACAAAGCGATGGTTCCACCTTACGCTCACTCTCAGCTAAAGCAGCTTCATTTTCTGTATACTGCTTGTCAAAGTCGTCTCGATTCTTCTCTAATAAAGCCTCCGCATCTCTAGCTTCACTCTCGGCTTCAGCTAGTTTACTAATTGCTGCGTCAGTTCGTCGCTGTGCAGTCAACGATCGTGCGGCTGATTCCTTTGTAATGTTGTATGCACCCTGAAAAGAAGGACCTACTTAGAGGGTATTAAATCCATTTCTATTAATAGGAACATCCACACTAAAGAAAAGTCTCAGTGAACACGAAAACAAATCGACGCATTAAGCATCATGTTTTATAAAGAAGAATGATACCTGTACATCAGCTTCTTTAATTTTGTTGGTCTTTTCACGCAAGTCCTCTGCAACTTCAGTAAGACGAACAGCATCCACTTCCAGCCGTTTGAGATCTTCTTGTGCAAAATCGACAGCCTGAGTTGCATTTGAGACACGGGTTTCGATACCATCCAACCTCTCACGGGCAATACCGATCTATAAACGATTTCCGCTTGTGTAAAGACATTTTGAAAATAAACAAATTCTCATCGCTCTCACTACTTAGCTATCTAAATATCCCACCTCCTTTCTGAGTCTGGTTACTTCCCCATCAAGATGCTCCAAATGCTCTTTGCTAATATTAGCATCAGAAAGCTTTTTCTTGGTATCTTCCAACAGTTTTTCCATTTTTTCGAATTCGGCATCATATGCAGAGGCAACGCCAGAGTCTTCGATATTATTTGCAGTGTCGATAAGCTTATCAAGTTGTGTCCTGAGATTTTGGATAATATCATCCCATTGATGAAAGCAGTCTCCACATGGTTTGCAGAAGGGCCACGTACCAGTGTATCCGCGTGCGCACTCGTTGCAAAGATTTCCTGGAAAAGCGCTCAGTAAAGGACGCGGATTTTAAGAGTAATCGTCTAATTTACCTCCGGATCCAGCAAGGCAAACACATGTCCCATTATTGCGATGACATTGTAGGCTAGCAGAACCCGTAGGATTACATTCACACCTCTTACAGCCGTCAGCAGTTGTTGGATCTCCCCAGAAGTAATCTTCGCATTCACTGCACCTTCGACCTGGGAATATGATATAATCCCAAACTTTTTAAACGACGACGACCATCTCGAACGTAATGGCTATGCTATATTCTACGTTACAAATGAAAAGAGACGCAGAATACCTCCTCGACCAATTTTACAATGACACCTTCCATCGAACTGATTACACTGAAGTTCGGGAAGACCATTTAAGTTAGTTACAACACCGGTTGGATCACAGTCACAAGCTGAGCAACCCTAAATTAGAACGCAAAATCATTGAAAAAGCGACTTCTTCAGACCAAAACAACGTCTAAAATCAATGATTCCCACGTTTCGCACCTAAAGGATAAAAAAATGTGTAATCCGCTTTTGGTCCTGGATATTTGCAAACTGTCAATATTCAAAAGTCATGATAGAGCCATGAAAGCTATACACTGACCACTATCGCAAAATTTACTTTAAAAATACGTAATGAACCCACTTTTCCACTGCTAAGATCATAGTAGTTTTCCGCACATTGATCACACTGCATTCCAATAACATTTTCATAGCAAGGGCACTGCCCGGTCACACGATCGCATGTAGCAGACGTAAGATTCGATCCAAGGTTATTGCAGACGCACCTAAATAACGATGTCATTCGTCACTTTGTTTTCAAGGCAATTCACTATGAGATAATACTCCGATGGACCGTCCCAGCACAACCTCCATTTTTTCGGAGTTGTGCGAATTTAGCTCTTGTGGTTCCCTGGAGTCCTAAGGTCAGTTAGGCCAAAGTCTGCCACAGGCCGTCGCCACCAAAGGCAGTAGCCGCCCTTGTGGATCAGGGGGAGATTTGCTGCCACGCGACTACTTTGGTATTAGGATGGTGATGGATCCTGCTATTGGTTTGCTCTTAGCAGGACTTTCTGGTGGAAACACCGGACTCCTCAGCTTGGGAGACACTGTCACGGATATGGATTCCCCTGCTGTAGATCGCAGCCCGACACCCAGGAACACCTCCCAGCCATGATGAGGCGGTAAACCGTTGGAAGGTGTGAGATAATAACAAATAATAAAACTACATTCAGTAATAAGTAAGAGTTTAAAGTCCAAAAGAGTCAAAAATGAGCAACCTCTGACAGCTTCTAATCTTTGCATCACCATAATACCCATCTGCACAGTTCTCACACATTGGACCCTCCGTATTATGAAGACACTTAAGACAATCACCGGTCGTTGAATCACAGCTTCCTTCTACCTGAAAATGGAGTTAACAGATCAAGGAACCTCAATACTCAAACTCAATAGAGTTTTGTCGAGTAGTTAAGCTCTTACAGCCATATCAATATTGCCGCTACAATCGCACTGTTCACATGAACCGCCAACTTCAGTCGGATTTCCCCAATAATTCATAGCACATTCCGCACATCGTTCACCAGTGTAGCCAGCACTGAAATTGGAAATGTTAAGGTTTATTTACTGTCTACTACGATTTTTTAACGGCAGAGTATAACGTGGAATACAACCACAATGATGCTGAGATATCTGCAAGACTCCTGACCACAGGTGTCTGCGGTGGGGATCGAACACGGTATTACCCTTCCCGGGACCTAGCGTGTTCACCGCCGCATCATAGGACCCTTCGTTTCGTCTTTTTCTCAGCTGTTTTTCTATCTGATGCAAAACACTTCACCATCATTGAAATAGGAAAGATGAAAATATCATAAATGACATTTGAAATGGTTCTCATGCAAATGTGACCATCTCAAAACAAGTAGAAACAATTTACTTATGGTAACGACAGAGCTAAAACCCACCGACAATTACAAACAACATCTTGAGTATTGTTTGATCGCTGAAGGTAGCAGGTATCTGCGTGTTGGAATCCGCTGGTAGGACCACCAGGACAGGGACAAGGTTTGCAAGGAAGATTTATTCCTAGCCTGAAAACGCGAACACTATGAAGGTGGGAACGGTCAACTTCACGGCTTACCGAGGATCGCCATAGTATCCATCTTGGCAACGATCGCAATAGTGACCTGTCGTGAGGTCGCGACACTCAATGCAAGACCCAGTTTGCTGATCACAAATGTTTGCGTGGTCATTGCATTGGCACACCTGAAGGTGAAAGATGATAATACGCTTAATGGTTTCATTTCTAAAGATGAACTTAAACTAAAGGTTATGTGTTGAGTCTATTTCCTAATGACAGAATCGTATCAAAACCGCTTCCAAACTTTCCATTACTTGTTAACTTTTTCTTTAATTACTACCTACTACAACTTTCACGGCAGACTATTATGCGAAATCAACCACAATTATGCTGAGATATTTGCGAAACTCCGAAAGGCAGATGTCTGCGGTGCGGATCAAACACGTTACTACCCTTTCCGGGGGCTAACGCGTTCACCACCACACAATGCGCGTCCTTCGTTTCGCCTTTCTCCCAGCTAGTTTTCTGTCTACCAGTACCATCAGCAGTCGTCCTTCAACGGGAATGAACTGCGGAGCCCAAATAGGAATTGACTCCGGCTGGCATTGATAGATAGAAAACTATCTGAGAAAAAGGTGGAATGAAGGACGCGTATGGTGTGGTGGTGAGCGCGTTAGCCCCAGGAAAGGGTAATAGTGTGTTTGATCCTCACTGCAGACACCTGCGGCCTAGAGTTTTGCAAATATCTCAGCAACGTCGTGGTTGATTTCTACCACTTGCTTTGGAAATAACATTTTCACAACTTTTACAAACTACAGAGAGTGCTAATAGAGCGACAAAAAATAGCGGAATAGAACCACAATCAAAAATCACTCAGAACATTAAACAGAAGCCAAGTAGACAAACCCTGCAATCTGGAAAGCCCCAAAATCCTGGCTGGCATTGATTGCACTGCCTTCCATAGATGCCCTTCTCACGACACACACATTGTCCGCTCTGCTTGTCACATCGATTGTGGAGTGATCCGACAGAATCGCATGCACACTCAACACACCCTGCTCGGCCAAAATCATATGTTCCGACTGCGCATTGGTCACACCTAGAAGACAAATATCATGGAAGAGAACAACATAAACCAGAACATGTCTCTACCTTCTACCGACGACATTTTGCTTGCATTCACATTGACCTCCTTTCACGTTACAAATCCCTGACACAGAACCGGTAGGATCGCAATCACATGAACTTGTATGATTTAATAGCATGGCAGCCACAGGACAAATGTATCGTTCACAAGTCTACAAGCATCCGGTAGTAGGAAAAACATAGGACACAAAAATGAAAAAAATAACCCACTTCGCTGATCATTTCCCTGGGAGTAAGCGATAACACAAAATTGCGACAATGGTAACGATCGTATTCAGCCTTATGTTCCAAAGCGCGATCGGAACCGTGGAAAATGCTCAACGAATCAGTTGGTGGCGCCAATACCAAAGAGTCTACTAACACCCACGCAACGCTGGAAAAGGATGAAAATGATGAAGAAATCATTTGCCAAAGATATTCTTACCGATCTTGTCCTCCTGTCCGCTTTTCGCCAAACTGCACTCGAATCTCGTATTCCAAATTAGCTTCCAGACAAACAGCTGGATAAACTTCAACGTAACGACCTCCTAAAACAAGTACTGTTAACACTTTCCACATTTATGGAATATACCGTGCTTGAGACCAAAAAGTTATTGTCACCTTCAACCTTAAGAAAAAAGTATATCCTGATTCATACTGAGTGTTATTAGTCCAAAGAGAAACCAGAAGAAATTAAAGATCATTGCCTAAAAGGTACGGCGCTCTCTACTAAGGTCAAATTCTGACCTCATGAACGTGATCGGGGTGGGGTGAGGTAGAGAGAAGGAATAGAGAGAAGGAAAGATGATGGGGAGAGAGAGAGAGAGAGAGAGAGAGACGCTTTACATGTCAAGGCTCGTATGTCAAACTTGAAAACAATTTAAAAACAAGGACTACGCTTAGAAGGACACGATGTTGAGTAATAATGTATCTTTGGTTTTTGTGGATACTGTGCCTGCATTAAAAATATTACAAATTTTTATTTCGTTTCCAATCTTTTGGCAAGCCTAATCTAGGGGACTTCTACGGGATTCTAATTCAACAAAAACAATTCCAAAAATGAATTACTACTTGCTATATACAATAAAAGTATTAGACCAGTAAATAGACAAAGCCTCTATAAACTCAGAAGTTATCACCTCAAATAATTTGGTGATCGAGAAAACATCGTCAGTTATCGAAAACCCAGCTTCATTTGTTAAGAACCTAAATTATTTTCTTCAAAAAATTGAAATCACCTGGATGTAGACGAGCTATGAGAAAATCATCCGAAGGATCACTGTTTAAACATTCCCCACTGGGTACGTTAGGACGTACAATAGTAATTTGTACATTTTCCCATCCAACTGGATCCTTAAATGTTTAAGTGCAACTAGTGGAACGGTAATATACAACTTCTTAAAATCAACTGGATCAGAGTTAAAGTCAACAATATAAAAGCAATGAGATCTATAAACTACACCCAACAAACTGACTTGAAAAATTGACAAACATCGAGAATAACCTAACAGCATGAACATAAAGGTCAAACAACGAAAATGTGAAACTCGCACCCTGCCAGCATCGTATCGTAGAATTATGTGGTACTTCTGACTTATATGTAGGTTATCCACTTTAAAACTGATCGAACTCCTCTCATTGACCCGAGCGTATCCTTCACCAGTCCACGTGACAGCAACACCTCTTTCTGGGACTTCTCGTTGTTCGATTTCAGCCTTTAAAAATTATTAACTACATGTCAATGACGTAAATATGACTGGTATAAAACACGTACATTCGTCAGAACAGAATCTTCTGCTTCATAAGTGAAGTGATCTATGTCTGCGCAGTAAAGACCTGAGTCGGCAGTTTCGCACCTATAAATTTCGCTTGATTCATTTTCTAGATTGCTCTTTTGCCAAAGTTCCCACAAATCATTTTGACACACCTCCGTCCACTGAATCCATCTCGACAAACACACTGTCCAGTAACAAGATCACATGTGTTGTTAAATGAACCTCCTATGTCGCAGTCACAAGGTTTACATCCGTCAGGATCTTCAGACAATCCGTAGTGTTCGGGCTTAAAGTAAAAAACCATCTTTGTTGGCTCGCATTGCACCTAATATGGAGGGATATATCCCAAACTCAAGAGAACTATATTAAGCTTTCCGAAATATTAGAAAGAAAAAAGAAGAAAAATACTTGGATGAGATACCACATACAGCATAAATCGATAAGTAAAAGCAAGCATATATCGCACATTAAAATGACTAATACAGTATCTACTCTAGATAAATAGAAAACTAGCTGACAGAAACACGAAATGAAGGACGCGCATGGAGTGGTGGTGAACGCGTTATCCCTCGGAAAGCGTAATAGCGCGTTCGATCCCCATCGCAGGCGGCTGCGGTCCGGAATTTTGCAGATACCCCCAGATCTATGTGGCTGCATCACACATAATACCTGACATGGAAAATTGTAATAGGCAATAAATAAAAAGTTAAAATCGTGGTCTCGACTACAGCCTCAACTTAACTGCGTTCATTGCCGATATGGGATCCCTAATTGACGGGCCATCGCTGACGGCACTGGTAGATATAAAACACAGCTGAGAAGCAGGAGGAACGAAGGACCCACATGATGTGGTGGTCAACGCGTCAGCCCCCGTAAAGGGTAATAGCGTGTTCGATCTCCTGCGGCCCGGAGTTTTGTAAATATCTCAGCACCATTGTGGTTATTACCTACTCTTTCGAAGTAAATCGTTCTTCAACGGAAATTCACTTAGAATTAAGCGTAACTGACTGTGTTAAAGTTCGTCACCAGAAAGAAACGTAGCGAACTAACCAAACACTGGTCACAGTTTTCTCCAGTAACCAGACGTTTACATGTGCAGTAACCAGTTGTTTTATCACAACCTTCGTTATTAAACGTTCCAAAGAGATTGCACGAGCAAGCAATACAGCCATCAGGATTTGATGCTTGCAAGTTCCAGAAACCATTTTTACATCGATCACATCTAAACTGATAAATCATAGAGTATAAAACTAGGTTCCTCCACTGAAAAACAACGAGTATAAGATGAAATAAAAACAACAAGGGTAACTTTCACCGATAATATATACGAAATATCAGAATGCCGTAAAAAATTACCGTGTTCCATCAACATTTGGTTTGCAGTAACACTTTCCAGCTACAAGACCACGTTCAGGATCCTCTTCGCCTTCGCAAATGCCCTAGATGTGGGAATTTGAACGATTTCGTTAAAATATCAACGCCAAACTTTGCAATTTTGGAAGTTTTCATGAGTACTTACATCATCCTGTGATCCTGCTTTATCGCAAACACACGGAAGACAAACATATGGATCAGATAGGGAACGACGTGGGTCACGGTAGAAGAAGGGTTTGCATTGCTCACAGTTTTTCCCTTGTGTGTTATGTTGACAATCATCACAAACTCCTCCTGACTGAAAGCCTGTAAAACGAGAAAAACAACGCTCCAAATCCACATCAAGATTTCGCATAACTACAGAGTACTTTCTAAGGGCGTATGTGGCGCAGTGGTCGGAGGTGCCCTGCAAAACACACGTGGAATTGATTGCCACGCCCATGGCCCACCAAACCTTCCATCCCTCCGGGGTCGATAAATTGGTACCAGACTTCTCTCTTAGAATAGCAGCACTGGCTTGATACATCGGTAGGTCACCGCGAGTTATTACAAGAGCCGGATATGTATTCAATAACTTCCAAACGAGGCTTAATGAAGTTGAATGCATGGCGCGTCCCTCAGGGATTGATCAACGCCGAGAGCTTTATCCTTTTTTTAGAGCAGTTTTTAACCAAAACAAGCTATGTTTTGACGAGCTCGAACCAAAAAAAAACCAACTTGGTCTGAAAACCCAACTTGGAAATTAACTCCAAACCCACCGCTAGCTTGATATACAGCTCGATCAAAATGACATCGGGATGCATGTCCGTTACATTCACAAATTCTGCACTCATTTTTCTCATCTCCAGTGGCTGGTCGCCAGGGAAGATCATTGTAGAAATCACGGCATTTCTTACAGTTGAGCCCATCTGTATTATGCATACATTCGCATCGCCCATGCACCTTAACGATTAAGATTATAACACGCACTGCCATTTGCGAACTTCACAACTAATACAACCACAACGTTGCTGAGATATTTGCAAAACTCTGGACCGCAGGTGTCTATGGTGGGGAACGAACGCGCTATTATCCTTTCCGGGGAGTAACGCGTTCACCACCACACCATGCGGGTCCTTTGTTTCGCACGTCTCTCAGCTATTTCTATCGATCTTTTTGCCACAGCAATCACCCGTCAGCGGGGTTGATCTGGGGAGCGCAAATCGGCATAAAACCCAGTTAAGCTATGGCTGTAGTTGAAATCACAATGTTTAACGTTTTTCTTTTCTGCCTTCTATAATTTTCATGGCAGGTTACTAAGCGAAATACAACCACAACGTTGCTGAGATATTTGCAAAACTCTGGAAAATTGTAGAAGGCAGAAAACAAAACGTTAAACATTGTAATTCCAACTACAGCCATAGCTTAACTGGGTTCTATGCCGATTTGCGCTCCCCAGATCAACCCCGCTGACGGGTGATTGCTGTGGCAAAAAGATCGATAGAAATAGCTGAGAGACGTGCGAAACAAAGGACCCGCATGGTGTGGTGGTGAACGCGTTACTCCCCGGAAAGGATAATAGCGCGTTCGTTCCCCACCATAGACACCTGCGGTCCAGAGTTTTGCAAATATCTCAGCAACGTTGTGGTTGTATTTCGCTTAGTAACCTGCCATGAAAATTATAGAAGGCAGAAAACAAAAACGTTAAACATTCACAACTAATGTTCTTACTTACTTAGATACTTGGATAGTTCGTTTTCACTGGTTATGCGGGCCCCAGCACCATTTCTTCCCTTCCAGAGTTCTGTTGGTCCAGCCACTGTCGTTTCCTGCAGTCCCGAGGTCAGCCTAGCCAAAGCCTGCCCCAGTTCGTCACCACCATAGGCAGTTGCAGCCATTGTGGATCAGAGGGACTACCATGCGACTATGTAGAAATAGTTTGATACCAGAACAGTGGTGGATCCTGGTATTTGTTTGCTCTTAGATGGGTTTCCTGATGGAGACGCCGGAATCCTCAGCTTGGGAGACCCACCTGGGGGGATGAATCGACCCACTTTGCATCACAGCCCGACATCCAGGAACAACTCCTAGCCACGATGAGGCGATAAACCGTTGGGAGGAAACTAATATCCTACCACATATAACTATTCCAAATGAAGTGGTAGACTTTTGTAAAAAATGCTATATTAGTAAAGAACACATCGTCATCACATTCGACTCACGATATCAGGACGAGCTAGCGCTGGATCGCTGTTGTTTTCAATTGGAATACAACGGGAAGCATGGCCATAGCATGAACATGATCCACGAACAACAATCTCATATATGGCATAATAATACTTCTCCTCAATCTCTGGTCTGGAAAGCCAAACAATAAGCCAAAATCAAAGTATTGGAATACCTACACTTACCTGTAGTCCAGCAGATCGTCACCCAGAGTGTGCAGTTTCGTGAAATTGAAACGAAGATTGGTGATTTTCAATAAGCTGGCTATTTCATCAGCATATGGATCTTCGGTTGCAATATGTGGTGATATTACTTTGTACACCAACTGAAAATTTGAGCAAATGCATGAAAGATGAAGAAAAAAACTGCAACTTTCAACAGAAATTGAAATTGTCGGGGAATGACCAACATGCTCTCTAGCAGCTATCGCACAATTAATTATTTAATGATTTCACTGAGACTATATTCTAGGGTTACGCTTAGGCTTAGGACGCTACTGCACCAATTCGGCAATACATACAAGTAGATGAAGAGTTCAAACCCTATTTCACTGACACTATATTCTAGGCTTAGGCTTAGAATGCTACTGCACCAATTCAACAATACATACAAGTAAGTCGATGAAGAGTTCAAACCCTACCTCTCCTCCGGTTGATGGAGCAACATCGGAATAAGCACGTGTGCAAATTACATCAGTGTGTTTTTTCGGTGGTCCCTCAGGAATTCCAGGAAATGTTCCAGCGCAATCGTATGCGAAGTACCGGTACACTTGCCTTCAAGGAAACTGACTTGAGTGGAAACAGGTATAAAATTAGCACGTTGATTAATACCATGTTTTGCCCCCATCAGCTGATCTCTCGATAATCATTGCAGCTGGCCGAAACGACTTGAATGTCATGATAAGATGAGTGAAGTGAAACTCGGCTTCTAAATCAAGCTGTACTGTAACGTTTTGTACTCCATTCTCCGATTGCCACCAGTTGCGATATTTATCTTCGTAACCATCGGACACGACATTTTCTATTCTAAAGTATTCAGCTGCTGTCATAAAGGTCGTAGAAATAAGGTAAAAGTTTGTAACGGATGCATAAAACAGAAAGCAAGAAAGGAGCAAACATAAGAGAGAATGAGAGAGTCGAATCTCACTGAAACTGGATGCTGCTTAACGAGTGGTACGCAATAGTGGTTCCCGTCAGACTAAGGAAAGAGCATACCAGCAATTTGGAAATATTACTTCTCATGCCAAACACTACGGACTCAGCTTCGTATTTCTTTTGGAACCTCATTTTTCGAACTTATCTTTCTATATATACCAGACAAGTGCGTTGAAAATTACACAGCAAAACCCCACTTCTTATATATAGGATACTGCTTAACCCTTTTACCCCCTATGGCCATCTTCATGTGTTGGGCCCAACTGAAAGCGTATCATTGACAGCACAATCGAAACGCGCATCGAAATCAAAATGTACGGTCTTACATGTAAAGTAGTGTAGCAGTGCACCCATTAAAATTAGTGCGCACAGTCGTCAAAGGTTTAACTAAGCACAACAGAATGTTGAACTTGGAATCTTATGAGGCGGTTCTGGCAACAACAAAGTAAAATAAAATGGAAAATTCAAGAACCGGAATTCACGGCAGACATGTGCGTCAGGTATACATATGCAATGGGATAAATAAGTGAAACTGACGGCAAAAGGCAATTGAATACCTGTGGCTCAGCCTGTACGGCTCCCTATATGGTCTCCATTCAGTCCGAGAGTCACAATAGAAACATTTGCTCTCCTCTTCCAAATGAGAAACGATGCAGAATCTATAAACGAAAAAAGTTCTCTTGGTTGGAAACAAAGAGTACGTTCAGGCAGCTGCTTTTTTCTACATAACGGCAAAAAAATCATACCATATACGATTCAGTTTCAACCATATCCAGATTTCTGAGTAAGAAATGCCACATACATAGCATAGTTCGCAAAGCTCTGGTCCTAAGGAAAGAAACAACTCTCATGGCCCGTGTCTCACCTCTGCCACTTAACTCGCCAACTACGATGGCAATGACCGCCGTCTAACTAGGTGTGGTGTGTGCAGTCGGTGTACATCTACGACGAAAACTTATCGGAGATGTAGATGTCCTTCTAGGACATGGATGTTCTCTTTCATGAAGACATTCGTCCAGACAACTACTGGCAGTTATTTCAAAACCGACTTTCTTTCCTTTAACTTCAGGATGACTAGTCAATATGTATTCTTTCTTTCATAAGCTTAGACGAGGTCGAATTTTTATTCGGTTAATGTTTTGACGTCTTCATCTTCATCAGGGCGGATGATCCGAGTCGATGGGCCACAGAGGTTAATTCTGGACCGTCGGCTCTGGTGAAGATAAAATCGTTAGAAATAGAAACAAAAAAAAACAGAAATAGAAACATTAACCGAACAGATTTTTTATCAACCTCGTTTAAGCTTATCAGAGAAAGAGTACATTCTGGCAATTAGCTTGAAGTTCATCGTCATTCATAACGCATGCTGACGCGGTCAAAAGCTGCTGTGAGAATTAAAGTCAGAGAGCAGGGTTCTAGAATATTTTAATGAATTTTCTTCTCAATTACTTAACTCTTTCTCTATCACGCCTAATGTCCCACTTTTGTAGACATGCTAGTTTAGCAATACGTACTTGAATGCTTGAATGACCCGTCCTCAGTGGTTGTGCGGGCCCCAGCATAATCTCCATTTCTCGGAGATTTGCTGGTTAGGTCATTGTGGTTCCCTGGAATCCCGAGGTCAGCCTGGCCAAAGTCTGCCCCAGGTCGTCACCACGACAGGCAGTCGCAGTCCTTGTGGATCAGAGGGACATTTACCTCCATGCGACTTTGATACCAAGACGGTGGTGGATCTAGGTATTGGTTTACTCTTGGCTAGTCTTCCTGATGGAAACGCCGGACTCCTTCTCAGCTTGGAGACCCTGCCAGGGGATGAATGCTCCGCTGTACATCGCAGTCAAACACCAAGAAACACCACCACGATAAGGCGGTAAACCGTTGGGAGGTTTTATAGCAATAGATGATAGTTTTTCGATAACTAGAAGAACTAAAAGGTTGCATACGTGACAGAATTCTAGGGAGAGACAGGCGAAACGAAGATCCCGTATGGTGTGGTGGTGAACGCGTTATCCTCCGGAAAGGATAATAGCGCGTCCGTTCCCTACCGCAGACACCTGCGGTCCAGAGTTTTGCAAATATCTATCTCAAAGGCAAAAAATAAAAAGTAAACATTGCTGTCAGTATTTGGAAGCGTTTTGCAACTTGTGTTGAATCTATTTCGGTATTTTCTACACTCGCACGTTCCGTAGAATAACTGTGATTCACTAGAGTGATTGATAATGAAGTAACAGTTAATTGATCGATAATTTGGTCAGTAAAGTTATCGATCAATGAACTCGTCAAACAAAATTTTTTTGTATATGTCTAAGTGCAGAACAGAGCTTTTTGGACCAACGCTGCATAGAACACTTGTGTTCGACAAGCTATCTAGTACAAAAAGTGTTACAAAAGACCTCTGTTCGGCGAAAGACATCGGCTAGAAGCGTGTGCATGCGTTGAAACCAATATGTATCAGCCCATAGACTCTGCCAACTTATATTATCGAAATCAAAGAGGTAGCGCAAGAGTGAGCCTTGCAGAACAACGTTTTTTCTATGCTTAGCAATTTGAATTCTCGAAAGTCACTGCAGTCTGTCTTGATATGCAATCAGTCGGTGTAATCGCTTGATAATTCTCATCTTCAAAGATAATTTTCCTTATCAGGTAAAGCCCGAGTTCAAATGTGATGAATTACCTCTCTCTGCCTTTTGTACCACATGTTGATGAGGATTTAAGACGATGTTTTCGACCAATTAAAAGATTTCCAGTGATCGGATAACATGAATGATTATCACAACGATCTTCTAAGCGTTGCTCATTGCTGGCCGGCAAATTTACGAAGGCAAGCACTGCCACCACGACCGCCGCCAGATGCATCCTGAAACTAGTGAAGACCATTGGAACTGGGTTAACTAAAGAATGAACAAGGAGTTTGGAACGCATACATGGACTAACTAGAGAATTCTACCAAATGAATTGTTGTGTTAGAGCTGGAAAGTCTAAAGGATGAAACTACTGTTTCTGCAAATCTGCTTCTCTCGAAGAAAATGATTGTTTTCTAAGCGAAAACGAACTCACGCAGTGCCGCTTTTTTCAAGCAAAGGCGATGGTAAGGGTCGCTTCGATGGTTTCGCAGCCTACAATGCCGTTAATCATCCGACGAACAAACAATATTGCATTTCTGGAGAAAAAACGGAACAGGAAACCTATGGAATGCGATGAATTGAAGCTTGAACTGTGGTCTTCACCGCAAAAATGATGATAAGACGTAATACGGCACTTTGTGTAAACTCGTTACGAAAAGTGATTGAAAAATGGAAAGGAACACAGAATGACTTCGAATACGATCAATGGGTAGAGTGGTATGGCAGACTGCGCGGTCAGTCTGGGCCAGGTCATTCTTGGGTTACTTCGAGGGAAGTCGGTGGAGGTCGCGAGGAAACCAGGTAACATCACTTATCGATTAGAGTGCCTTCTAGGAGTGAGCCAGTAGCTCTGTTGGTGGAGGAGAAACTCTTTCAATAACTCTTCTGTTACTGAAAATGTTCACGGACATGGTAATTACGATGTTTCATTACCATGAATTATTTTAATGCATGGGGTTTTTAGTTCCTGTCTAAGAACGTAAGGGGTGACTTCAACAAATATAACCATGAAAAAGAATGCTAGACTTAATTTCCGTCTCGTATCTATGTTGGTGATTCATCTGAACAATATTGTCGGTTTAGGAGATCGTGCAGAAGGTAGTCGACATTGAAGGTTGGCATAGAGACAGCTTACTACCCAAAAATTCAACGAATCAGAGCGTATCGTAGTGTTTCAGTAGTTTGTAGACATTGTGTGCGAAGGCTTTCACACTGATATCTTCGAATAAAAGGCTAAGCAACAAAAGTGACTGCGACGGTTCTGTAACAGTTTTGAGAGGTAGAAACGGTAACGACGAGTTATCGGTCTGTGATCATCAATGTTATGGAAACGGCGACATCAACGCAGAAGATCGTCAATCGCATTTCACGACACCCATCGACTGCAATGGTTTCATTTGCAACTTTCATCACAAACGAATTCGTGATGAGATTTTTGTCTTCTCTTTTGTGTCAACTTTGAGTGAATCACATTCCAAACCGACGATGTCGACGTCATCATCAAACGCAACCGTCGAAGCGTCGAATGTCGTCGTGCTATTCTCATTCAAACCGTTGTGCCGTGTTTCAAGAGGTCGGAGTTGACACGAGAAAGACGACGAAGATATAAGAAATACGACCGACTATAAACTTACATCCAAGCTCAGCTCCTTACTAGTTATAGATTGAGCATTCTTTGAGTGATTTCTCACGGAGATCGATGATAATCGGTAATACGAAAGTTATTACCAATGAAAATAATAATGATTAATGAGGGTAATAATAATAACAATAATGATAATAGTAATAATGGTGAGATTCGACTTGTTGTGTCGCCTTCGAGTGGCCACTCGACTTAGCCGAAGGGTTGGCTGTCGCTACAGGAATCGCTATCGTCCTGGAAAATCCGAGTCGTATGGCAGCAAATTCCCCTCCAATCCACAAAGGGTGGCAGCTGTTGTGGTGACGAACCGAGAACTCTCTAGACCTGCTATCTCAGATTTCCAGGGACAATCACGCTTGACCATCATTCATTATGTCAATGAGGGAAGTCCGAAGATTCTCAAGTTGTAACCGAATTCAAACCCTAACCCGATCATCTTATTGGAAGACGATTTAAGCACCACGAAACAAATGCGAGAATGGATGGGACCCGCCCTATATGTGAGCAGCAGTTATCTGAGCAATTGCACTAATGACGGTAATATTAGTGTACCAAGATTATTACTCATTAAAAACAGTCAATATGATAACATGACGACAATGACCATAAACCGGGAAGGATTTCATCATGTTAAGAAGATGGAAAAGCTGAAGAGAGGAATACAAACGTCTTTGTGTTGTTCGACAATAATAATCATTTTCAGAGCAGGAAGGACATGGATGGACATGAAAATGTGAAATAAAACCACAATGATGCTGAGATGTTTGCGAAACCCTACCCCAAGACCAGTTTCGAACTCGCAATTATCATTTCGGGACACTCACGTGTTACCCACTGCACCACCGTCGCCTTCACTTGCGTTTCTCTCAGCCAGTTTTTTTTTACCCGGTGCCATCAGTAACCAACCATCAACGGGAATGATCAGCGAAGCACAAATTGGCGTTAACATCAATTAAGGTGAAGATGCACTCAAAATTACAATGGTTAGCTTTCTATTTCAATAAAAAGTTAAGCGAAATGAAATGAAAGGAATGAAACAGATCATTGCAGTCAGTTACGCTACTACGAACAGTACGGCCGGAAAGGATAATTGCGGTTCGATCTGGCATGAAGTCCAAGTTTTGCAAATATCTCAGCGTCATCGTGATTGTATTTCACATAATACCCTACCGTGGAAAAACAGTGGGCTGTAGATGAAAGTCATATATTGTGAGTACCAACAGTACTGGACATAGGTACAAAAACTAATATAGCGAGTGTATAGGACATCTTGAGATGTTCACTAAACTGGATATTATGGTATAGAGAGCGTTTGGTGAGAGAGTACGAGCTATTTGATTCGTCTGTTCAAATGGAGAGCAGCTAATGGATGCAGCTGGAAAGCGACGGCGTCGAATAAGCAAAGAAATGTAAAAGAAATGGTCGTCGTGGAGATGCAAAACAGCTGCTGTACACGTGTGTCGTCGGTGAAGATGACTCGACGTACAGATGTGAAGACATCGAAGTAAATCCAGCCCTTAATGAAGCTGGACGGGAGAACGTCTTTCCGTTCGCTTCTACGTTCGCCACAGCGCCATTCGGTGTGTTCAGAAGGGATATTCACTCAAAATAATGTCTCCACGAGCTGGTAATGATGAACAGGAACTTTCCGAAGCAGGATGCCATTTTTTTTAAATGAAGGGCTCGTTATTCGTCAATTTAAAATTGTCAAACTTACCGTAATCCAGTTCACAAGGTCTAATCTAATGAGCTCTTTAGAATCTGTAAGAGAGCGAAATGATTAAGCAAAAAAAGAGGAAACTGTGAGAATGTTTGTTTAGATATAAACAGACGAAAACCTTTAAAGAGAAGGAAAAGAAAATCGGATAAACCCAGGAAACAACAGAACGTCGCTGTTAGTTTCCTACATATGAGAATGTTTCTGGGGACAAGAAGAAAAATATAGGAGTGACTTAGGAGTTAATAGAGCACTATACAAGTAATAACTTTGTAACAGTACAAAAAAAAGTTCATAGAAGAAGAAAGGCGTAGGAATCTAAATGTGTTCTGCAATCAGGCAGAGGAATGGGAAAGAGGACGAGCTGCACGCTTGAGATTCATGAATAACACAACCCTGGATTTTATTATCTAGTTATCCAAGTGCTAACGATACTCATTGGACTCATAGCCATCCAAACTAATCTGAAAACGAACGGCCTTAGTGTAAATGTTGCGCTGAGTACTAAAAAATGGAACGATCAAAAAATGATCACAGTGGTTCCGATGAGGACTATCGCTGCCTTAGTGGGTTTGATGTGTACGGAACGATGTGTTGGCAAAGTCGTGTAGCATGTTTGCTCTAAGAATGAGTGTCTAAATCAAACATAACCTACAATCAATAGTCAATAAATATAACAGCCTTTCGAGCCGACAGATCCCGCTGTTAACCGGAGTGCGACGATGGAGGAGACCTTAGAGAGAGAGAAGGGTCACCGCGAACAGACGTCGGACGCTGATAGTGGGCAGTCGGACCGACGGACGTACGTACACTCCGCACTCCGCACACGCGCCTGTTCGGCGGATAGATGCCACCACGATGGCGATGCTGACTCAGAGCGCTGCTCTCCAAAAAACCGCTTTGTCGACGAAACTGACAAATATTGTCGTCCTCTAGCTGCTTGTACTCATTAAGCCACTACAGAAAATTTGTCGGTTTTCGATGAAAAGGGAAAGGTTCCATTTTTGGGTTTAGTAGTGGTTGGCGCAGTGATGGCAATACCATTGTGAGTTATGTCAAACAGTACAGGCGCGGGTTTCACCTACCGAAGGTCCACCAAGCCTCAGAACCCTCTGAGCTACGAAAATTGGAACAAGATTTGTCGGTCACCAACTCACTCGCTCCAGTACAAGGGGAGCTGCATTGACGCGGCTATCTCACGGCTAGAGGGAATCGACTCGACCAACAATTAACAACATTCGTAACGAAGTCGAAAAATAGAAAGTTATATTTTTTTAAAGCGATTTCCATTCAACCACGGTGTGAATAATCAATGTGTAGTTTCTTCATTGATGAGCTTGCATGGGGTTGTTGCACAAACTCTATATTCAGCTAACGCTTCGACGCCCTCGCCTTTTTCAGAGCCGATTGATCCCCGTCGCTGTTCCACAGTGGTTCCGCCTTACGATAAGAGTCTTCGTAGTCGCATCGATGTGAGACGATCAGCGCTCGAATGTGGCAACCTCACCTGGCGACACGCTTCTGTACTTAACAGTTGCTGATGGTACTGATTGCCCTCCGGCAATAATTTATTTTTCACCAAAAAATATATCCCGCAGTACCCTGTGTTAGATTAACTCGCATACAGCGAAGTAATAATTTTTAAAAATAGTTTATTTCACAACTTTGTGTAAGCTTATCAGTGAGGAATCTAGATGAAGAAAATTAGTTTATGGATCAACTTGTAGTCTTATGGTGGAGATTTTATGATGGGATTGATAATACTCTATGTTTCAGTCTAACCCTCACTCTGACCCAGCCGCTTATGTGGAGTTCTTACATCTTATGTCTTTTTTCGCTTATCTGAGTAATTAGAGCTCGTTGCTGAAATTTG